GCTGAGAAAATTGCATGCTTTTGGAACCCTAGCAGACATGGACAACAAAAAGAGCATCAACCGATCACATGAAGAAGATGGCCGGCCCCATCAAGAAACTGAGAATCACTGGCACGAGCATTAACGATATAACTCAGGTAGTTATTTTTCTTTTCTTTTTTTTTAAAGAAAAAGGATGGATTACAATAACAGTAATCTAGCCAGCTAAATTAATAAAACCTGGTTGTTACATAATGATACACATCCCCAACCAAGAATGTGTACACAAGTTCAGACTAGATTTACAAAACAAAAGGACACACTCTTGAAGAGAGCTTTAAACTTCCCCAAAAAGGAAAAAAAACTTAACAACTACTACCAAACCAGAATAGTAGAATGTTTCACAACCAAACAAAGCTTTTGAACAAAAAAAAGCAGGAAACACTTAATTCTCTGTGCTTGGAGATCATTCCAGCTGAATCACTATGTCCGCAAGGCCCCTATTCTCTCTTCCTATAGCATCCACAACTTGTAATCTTTCAGCAATCCTCTTTCTTCTTCTCTCTTGCATTCTGGCAGCTCGAGCAGAAGTAGTCTTAGATGTTGTGCGCGGCGCGGAAGCGAGACAACCAAACGGGCGTGCTTCGAGAACCAAATCAAACAAACGTCGAGATAAAAACCAAACAAATCAAAACAATGGCACAAATCCAAACACAATAGTTTTACGTGATTCGGCAAATTGCCTACGTCCACGGGACAAGAAGGGGATTGAGTTTTCACTAATAGAGAAGAAGAGTACAAACTAAGATTACAAAACGCTCAAAGGAATCAACTAATCTCACCAACAAATCTCTTATTCTCTCCAAATAAACCCTCAAACAATTGCTCAGAAAAACACTCTTTTTTCTGTGCTCCAATATCCCAAAACCAATCTCCAAACAAAGCCAAAGAAATCCTAAAACGTGTATTGGTATTTATACAAACACCAAAACCAAATAAGAATAGGAAACCAACATATGGGCCTGACCCGCTACGCGGTCGCCCGCCACGGTCGACCGCGACCAACAACAAAACCTGAAAAACGCTTATAGGGTCTGGCGGTCGACCGCGGCCAACAACAACTCTTCACCAATATCATCTGCATCCAATTCCAAATGATCCCCAATCTGTGTCACCTCAGCTGGAATCCCAAACGATGCAGTATGATCTTGAGTATGTGGAGTAAACTCCACCCAACATGGAGTAGCATCACCCTCCACCTGCTGCGATATCCAAACGATCTGATCAACACTCTCTACCTACCGAGAGTCTAATGTGATATACCTACAATCAAATGAGCCTCCGAATCCCAAACGCGCAATCGGATCAAATCTCACATCCTCGATGTGACCAAATGCTGGGTAACCAAATATCCGACGTCAGCTAAAATCTAAAGTAGCTCCACCAGATCCAAAATCTCTAAATACAGCAGTTGGCGACCTATGACTAAGATGACCCAAATATGTCGAAGCCCGCACACTAATGCCAATGCTCGACATCAAACGTCGATCTACCTTCAGAAAGGAACGACCCATCGAAACTGTCATCTCATCTCATCGCCCCAATGTTTCCTCTCTAATGAAGTGTCTCAAACTGCCATGAGCTCGGCACAAATATAGTAGGTCCCTCTTGTACCTCCTTCTACAATCAGAATGAAGTACCTTCACCTTACTCCCGATACACTTCTTTAACTGTTGTTGACTACTAGGACTTTAAAACCAGCGGGACTTGGTTGCAACCCACAAATGCCTAATACAATCACTAACATAGGAAACCAAAACACCAATTTACTTTCCAATGATGCCTCTTTGGAAGGCCCTCGAATGCCTGAATGAACACCAAATAGAAGACCCCTCAATCATCAAATAGAAGTGCCAAACTCTACCTCGGTCAATGCCTGAATGAACACCAAATAGAAGACCCCTCAATCATCAAATAGAAGTGCCAAACTCTACCTCGGTCTCCTTGCTCATACCAACGTGCTCAAAAGACCCTCAATCATCAAATAGAAGTGCCAAACTCTACCTCGGTCTCCTTGCTCATACCAACGTGCTCAAAAGACTTCAATATGCAGGTGAATGGCACTTCTCAATAATCCAATGCATCATATCAACAAACAAATAACCCAGCCTCAAATCCTTCTATCTCGGCCAACTATCTCAAAGCACCAACAAATGAAGAATAGATCCAAACTGATAAATGAGAGAATTTTACCTCCACTTGAAACCCTAACAAGGGTCTCCAAACGATCTCACCCCGCATGATGGCAACGAGATCCACAAATAGGAAAATTCCCTTCTTTATCTCCAAACGAAGCCCTCGAAGAGCCTCCAAAGCAATCTACTCCTCCAAATAGCCCAAGCGCTAACAAACCAATACGGAACAAACGAAGAATAGATCCAAATTGAAAAAGATAGAGTCTTTACAAAAAAGATCCTACCTTTCTCACCAAACAAAGTCATAGCCGAACTTCCAAATTGATCTACTCCTCCAACCAAGACAAAACCCTAGATCTGAAATCTGAAGCTTTAATACCAATTGTTGTGCGCAGCGCGGAAGCGAGACAACCAAACGAACGTGCTTCAAGAATCAAATCAAACAAACATCGAGATAAAGGCCAAACAAATCAAAATAATGACACAAATCCAAACACAATAGTTTTACGTGGTTCGACAAATTGCCTATGTCCACGGGGCAAGAAGGGGATTGGGTTTTCACTAATAGAGAAGAAGAGTACAAACTGAGATTACAAAACGCTCAAAGGAATCAACTAATCTCACCAACAAATCTCTTAATCTCTCCAAATAAACCCTCAAACAATTGCTCAGAAAAACTCTCCTTTTTCGGTGCTCAAATATCCCCAAACCAATCTCCAAACAAAGCCAAAGAAACCCTAGAATGTTTATTGGTATTTATATAAACACTAAAGTCAAATAAGAACAGGAAACCAACATATGTGCCTGACCCGCTACGCGGTTGACCACCACGATCGACCGCGACCAACAAAAAAACTTAAAAAATGCTTACAGGATCTGGCGGTTGACCTTGGCGGTCGACCGCTGTAGGCGTATAAAAATGCCTATAGGTTCTTACACACAGCTCGAGACGAAATGCAGACGATAAGCATCATCATTCAAATCAGAAAATGATTATCTGGTCCCATGGAAGCTAATGAATATACAAAGTGAGTCATTGGAGTGTACAAGTCAACGGAATGATGAAATGCGCAATACAAGTCCGAAGAAGTTAGAAAGTGTCAAACACGTTAAAGTGGTCCACATAAAGAATTGATATTTTGATCATGATACAATTTGAATCTGGAAAAATTCAAAACAAAAGTTGAAGGTCTCTTCGTCAGCTTTCTAACACATCTTGAATCACCTTATTCTGAGGTCGGATGAGTGGGTTAAGGCCGCTATAATACCGCGTTACAGTAACCGCGGGACCGATCCGTGCTATAGTAACCGCGGGACGGATCCGCGCTCGCTACAGTATCCGCGGCGGATCCGTGCTATAGTAACCGTAGGGAGGATCCACGCTATAGTCGCGCTACAGTATCCGCGGCGGATCCGTGCTATAGTAACCGTAGGGAGGATCCACGCTATAGTTATAGCAAGACGGATCCGTGCTACAGTAACCGCGGGACGGATCCGTCTGACCCGCGCCAACGCGGGACGGATCCATCCGTCACGCAGGTTTGACCTGAAAACGTGTTTTTGATGGTTTTGAGTGGTTTTCTCGGGATTTATCTATTCCAGGGGTTCCCAACAGACTTGATATTATCCACAAACATAGTTAGGCCGCTATTGACTGAAGATAAGGCTAAATCACTCATTCTTATCCGAAACCCCCAACCGAAGCCTATAAATACAGGCCGAGGGATTCATTTCACAGGAGGACATCAAGAGGGATAAATACTGCCGAATTGGAGAGTGGAGCCACGAATTTACAGTAAGGGTTAGCAGATCTTGGCGAGTTCCTGTGCATAAAGAGTGGAGTTTGAGAGATCTGAGACCTGTCCCATATTCCTCCGGATTTAAGCTTAGTCTTAATCTCGAGAAGAGCCGTGATCTCGCTTGGTCGGGATCTCCGGATTTAAGCTTAGTCTTAATCTCGAGAAGAGCCGTGATCTCGCTTGGTCGGGATCATCGCTGTAGTGAATACTTTCTTCGTGAAGTAGGAGCTCTGATTAATCATTCTGTCAACCGGATTTGATTCGTAGGTGGTCTATGGATATTAACGTCTCCAGCACATGCAAAGATCCCGCACAAGCAGAAGACCGATAAACGATCTCTCTGCGTTTGTTTG